GATATTTTGAAAGGCTTTCAGAAGCATGTTGAACTTGAATTTCCCAAGTGTACAGAGGGCCTGTGTGTGTAATATCTGGTTAAATCCTGCCGTGCTCTATCTCCCATAGGGTTGCCAGGAGACTGAATCTTGATTACTCAATTCTATATGATACATACATTTCATAAACTTTCATGCTGTGAATTCCCATGTTTGTATTTTGTGCTGGGGGGTTGTATTCTCTTGCATGAGATTTTTGTTTTATTTTCATGATGGTGGGAAATCTTCAGCAAACAGGTTACTTATCTGAAAATGCAGCACTAAGGCAGAGACAGACAGTTCATGCAGGTAGGGTCTGGAGTCTGAAGGACTCACATGGGAAAATATACACAGGTTGTGTCTATACTTCCAACCAAACTGTAGCTGTATCAATGTAGGTGGGGTGATCTGTTTGCAGAGAATAGAGGTGGGCAGCATGTCAATAGGTGGGAGGTGGGTAGCAAATGCAGGAGCTGCAGCTGCTGTGTTCTGCACCAGGGAACAATGTGTTTTCCCTGCAAACCACCAGCTGACTCCACACCTCCTCTCTCTTTGTGTTCAGGGAGTGGGATTCTGGCTGCCCACTTCTCAGGAGTGTAGATGAAGGGAAAAGCCCTCGCTACACTCACACAATAGTGGCCAGAACCTGACATTTCACGTCTTTCCTGCATTGCAGCATCTGGCTTACTGAATACTGAGAAATTAGAAAGGAAAATCGTTTCCTTGCCCTTCATTTTCATTGCGCTTTATAACAAAACGCAGCAATGATCTGCAAACAAAATGGAACAGACAATGCTGGCAACATCAAAGATCAGCAGTCACAGGTCGGAAACTATAGACTGAAGTGAAGCCGTCTCCTCTCACAAGACTATGCAACAATAGGCTATACTGGTGACTTATGAAGTGTGAGCTCCCCTGAGTTATGGGAGAAGTTCTTAGGCAAGATCGTGGCATGGCAGGTGGATCCACTGAGGTATTCTTGCCATTGATGAAAGGTACTCAGCATTCCATGGCCAGTGACTGAGTGTTCTCAGCTGGATGCCCTTGCACCTTAGGGAGCAGCTCCGACTGACAATGTTCCACAGGCGAGTTTGATAGTCCTAGGGCAGGCTGGGAGGTCTTTTTCTTCATTGCAGCCTTTGATTGCTCCACTGAATTGTATTTACTCTCCTCAAGGCAGGGGGCTGCTTTGGGCATTGACTGATTGCGACTGCATCACCTACTGCGCCGGGGCGGCTCCAGGCACCAGCACAGCAAGCGCGTGTCTGGGGTGGGAAGCTGCGGGGGGCGGTGTGCCGGTCGCCGTGAGGGTGGCAGTCAGGCAGCCTTCGGCGGCACGCCTGCGGGAGGTCCGCCGGTCCCGTGGCTTCGGCGGCAATTCGGCGGCGGGTACGCCGAAGGTGTGGGACCGGCAGATCACCCGCAGAAACGCCGCCGAATCCGCGTGACCAGCGGACCGCCCGCAGGCGAGCCGCCAAAGGCTGCCTGACTGCCATGCTTGGGGCGGCAAAAAACATAGAGCTGCCCCTGTACTGCGCTAATGTTTGTGTTTGTTTTTAATAACCTCTTTGCTGCCTAGCTACATATGATTATTGGTGTGATATAAACCTGCAAATAAATAGAATAAATAAAGGCATCTGATGTCAGGAGGTTATGGGGAAGGGGCTCAGCAAACAGACAGATACAAATAACCCCTCTCTCCTGCCTCAGCTCAACTCGGAGACATTAAAAAAAAAAAGAAACCAACACGAGGTGTAAAGAAAGCAACCAAGTAAGTGCTTAAGGATCTGGACCAGCTCCCACTGAAGCTAATGGGAGTCTTAGCATTCAATTTCATTAGTATGGGGCTGGCCCGTAAGCCTCTCTCCCATTCCCATCCCCTGGTCAAGTATCTCTCTCATTGCCATGCTGTGTCTTATCTAACCTTGGGCCAGACAGTGTAAGATTAGTCCAGTGAATAAGTGTTTGTAGGATCTGACCCTTAGATTGTAGCTTGAGGAAGGGACCCATGGACAGATTCTGATCTCTGTTGTACTAGTAAATCCAGAGTAACTCAATTGCTTTCAGTGACGTTGCTCCAGATCAGTTACTGTGTAAATGACTTTAATTGAGTTACTCTTGATTTATATGACAACCTGGGTCATCAGCAGGGACTGAACCTGGGCTATCTTCATCTAAAATCACAAGCCTCTACTGTTTGAGTTAAAGGACTAAATGCATTAGGTAAGAATGGTAGCAGGCCCATAAACTTTCTATGCGGATCAGCTACTGGAGCGGGGCAAAGACTCAGTGCATGTTACATTTTACACCAGTGTAAATGAGATCAAAATTTGATCCCAGTGTTTTTGGGTGAAAGCTGACCCTGCTGAAATGGGTGGGAGTTTTGCCATTGACTTCAGTGGAGCCAGGATTTTGCCTTTTGTCTTTAAAGTGCTATACACACTTATGATTATATATGAGTAGATAATAATAGAGACAAAACCATAAAAGGCTTAGCTAAACCTGTTTTTGACTCACTCTCACGCATAGGTTTGTGTATCTCCGTTTTATCATAAATAGCTACATTTCCTCCATGTGGACAATGCAAGTAATTCCTCTCTTATAAAAAGGTTTTAAAGCCACATTGGTTTTATTTTTAGGTGCTATTTATTCATTTTGTTTTCAAACAAACTCCAGCTAGAGGGGCACAGGGCAATGGTGCCAATATGAGGGCATTTCCATAATGGGGGAAAGCAAACAAAGGTCAGACCATTTAACTTATAATTATCTTTTCTCACTGTCTCCACTCCAGGACCAGGTTTCTTCTATGGGCGCTGAACTCCCAGCTACCTATGCCTATTGCCTGTGATGGAAGAACTTGATGTTAATGTGAGGTAGGAGAAACCATGCGGCATACTGTACATTGCAGATCTTCTGGCTATGGAGCTGCAGGAGGTCAATAATAACATAGCGTGTTTGCAAAGCTGCGGGATGTAGGATTTTTCTGTTTGCCAGTATTGCTAGGTTACTGCTACTGCAGCAATATTTGGTTTTGGGTTTCCTTGAGTATGCATGATTAGGTAGTTTTGCGCTGTTATTTTTATAAATGTGTAGCCACCACAGCCAAACCCACAGTAGTGTAATGCAATAGTCCTAAGCTTTGTATCACATCCCCCACATGTCACAAGTCAGAGCCTCACCTAAGGGAGCAGTTTAAGTTGAGAGTAGGGGTGGGGAGAGAGGAGGGCAGGAGTCAGTTTACACCAGCTGAGGATCTGCTCCTAGATTTTTATTCAAAAATTATTTTTTGATTTTTATTCTAAAAATGAAGAGCCTGGTTATCCTCTTCCTTACACTGAGGTAAACCTGGAATAACACCATTGAAGTCAGTTCAGAGACACTGGCATAAACCTGATATCCCCAAGAGGTAAATTAGCACTGTGATTGCTTTGTGCCAATTTAATGCTAGTATAAAATGCTGGAATGACAGCCCTGGAAACTGACGTTCCCTATTTTTATTGAGGTACCCTTGGGGGAGAGACAGGGCTGCTTTCTCTCTCCCTGCCAATGTAGCCCACCCTGAATTGAAGTTCCTCCTGTAGTCCTGAGATAGCAGTTCAGTCTCCGTGGCTCATGTAGCACTTGGCCTCTTTGATGGGACTGCCACAAGGTTGCCAGTTAGTCCGAAGGCAGTGTTGTTTTGTGTGGACTGAGACCCCATCAAACTCATTTCACATAAGGCCACCAAACAACCACCAGAGAGTAGGAATTTGGGATTGTTACTGATAGACCTTGAATCTGCACTGCTGACTCTGAGGGAAAAGGCAGAGTTCTACTAGCAATTGAGAGAGGCATCCAGAATTAAATGCTTCACAATCTTTTTAAAATCTGTTTTCTATATCTTCTCCATCGCTTGCATTTCAGTTTATTTTTCAATGCAGCATTGCTCTGAAAAAGTTCTCTGCATTACAGTGCTTAGACACCTTCTTGAGAGGTGCCTGGGAAAGTCCACAGAACAGATCAATTGTCAATTAAAATCAAATAGATCAAATGCATTTGCACTCATTTTCCAAGGAGTCTTTCCCTAATGAGTTGCCTAACATAGAGCATAAGTGTTTCAAAAGCCTTAGTCGTGATGATGAGTGGTGAGTTGCAGAATCAAACTGAGGTTAGTGCGGGGATAGATATGTAATGTGGAGGGTTGGGAGCATAATTCCACTATATTAAATTAGCAATTAGTTGAATAAAAGTGGAGAGAGAGGGGAGAGATTTTGTTTTTGGGGATCTGAGTATCCTCTCACTTGCAATGTTGCAAATGATGAGTAACTCCATGGAGGTGATTGGAGCTACATGAGGGAAAACCAGTGTTGATGACAGGAGAATCATGCCCTGGTGTGTAATATTCAACATCTGTATGGTTGGATTATGGAGAAGGGGAAAAAGCATGAAACTGAATGTATCTGAAGAGACTCTGCCTGTCCTCCCTTTCCACTGGGATTGACGTGAGAATGGTTTCTCTTGGAGGCTATTCAGGTGGGCCCCTAGCAGAACGCTTTGCTTAGCTCTCTTACCTGTGGGGAGCCCATCAGGAAAGGCCGTCATCTCAGTTCCTGGTTGGTGGGCATGGGGCGTGCTGGTCACCTCAGCAAATACATTCCTTTCTCCCTGGCTGGGTGGGAGGAGGGAGAGGAGGTAATCAGCTGTCTCAGGCAATTTCTGTGCACAGCAGGTTTCATTTTGGGGGCTGCCACCCCACCCAAGAGAATATCTCTGCTTCTCACCCACTTTCTAATATAGCAAATTAAGTTTTTGGGTTCTAAAGGCCATGCAGCATTCTGCCCTTGGTTTGTGCACAACTCACACTAATGTCAGATGGGAGAGTTCCTTGCAAGACATGTACCTTACACCCCAGAGTTAGTCAGTTTGGGCCTGACCAAAGCCCATTCAAGTCAATGGAAAGACTGACTTGGGGTTTGACTCAGACCCTTCATCACTTCAGGAAAAGCACAAACTCCTCCACTGGCTTGCAATCAGTTCCTCTTTCTCACTCTCCCCCGCCCCTCCCCCTTGTGCAGCTCTGTAAATGTTTTTGGAAATCAGTGTTTTAATGAATACTGAACAGGTCACATTTATAACCCAGCAATCGATTCTGAGAGGTAATGTGTTTTGCTTAATGAAATTTGTTCTGGCTTTGCTATGCCAGGAACATAGCACAGTGCTTATACTACTGTTCTTTTTCTGTAAGGGGAATTGTAGTGCTGATACGTAGAGTGAAATCGTGTTACCTACATCTTCTCTCCCCTTCCTTTGAATACATCAGAAAACTCCTCCTCGTTATTGATTAATAAAAGAAAAAGTATTAAAACTCCCTAAGAAACTTTTCACCTCCTAGGCTGGTTGTTGGCTTTTTGCAATTCACTAGGAATGGGCACATTTGATCAGGCTAATGGTCCATTTAGACCAGTGGCTCTCAACCTTTCCAGACGACTATACCCCTTTCAGGAGTCTGATTTGTTTCACCTCACTTAAAAACTACTTGCTTACATAATCAGACATAAAAATACAAAAGTGCCACAGCACACTATTACTGAAAAATTGCTTACTTTCTCATGTTTACCATATAATTATAAAATACATTGATTGGCTTTCCCCTACTGCAGAGAAATGTTTATGCTAAGACAGACTGTTTCCTTTGAATTGAAAACAAAAAATACCCCCCACACCTGCCATTTTCATTGCTATCAGAGTTAGATGTTGTGAGAACTTTGACTCCCTATGTTGCCATTTAAAATGTTTTTAAATAATATTTGTAGTCCAAATAAGTGGAAAGTGTCCCTTTAAGTGCGACTGGAAGGGATCCTCTTTCAGAAATGCTCCCCCAAAGTACATTATCTCCTGGAAACTATTTTGTGCTGTAGCAAATTTTGTCTCATCCAGGTAGAACGGTGAAAGGATCTCTGATGGGAGATTGCTGTCTCTCTCACTCAGTAATTATTTAATCCTGCCTGTCATTCAGATGTTAAAATGCAGCATAATGCAATTCTCTGTCTCTTTCTACGGACATTTGAAACCTGTCCTAAATACATATTGGTTCAGTGTTTTGCATTTGGTTTGATATGTTAAAGACTGGGGTCAAATCTCACTCTCATTTATAACTTAAAAATGAATTCTTTTTCCTTCGTTCTTATTGGATTTATTCATGAACCATATAACACAGGCCTTCATTTGACACTTGCTGGGAAAGTTTTATACACAGCACTTCCCTTCAGGCATGTATTTTTGTTTTAACTCCACAATCTCCAGCCATGGGATTTTTGTTTTTGAGAGGTTCGCTTGTCAGCTACCAGTAGGTAGCTGATATTTCCATGCTCCCCTGATTTCAAATTAGACTAGCTATTTCACCCAGAAGTAACATATAGAACATTTTTACAGAAGCAAAGAGTTTCCAAATTTTGTTCTTAAAAATTGCTCAAGGCTACATAGTAAATCAGTGAGATTAAAACCCACAAATCCTGACTTCCAGTCCCCCAATGCCACTCACAGATAATCCAGTGGAAAGTCCACACATGTAGGGGGAGCATATTCTAGAGAGGAACTCTGGTACCATGTGGGTGACAGTGGGATGGATGGATGGAAGGAAGGATGGATAGCAGGCAGGTATATTGGAATGGAACTTCCTGAGAGCAGAATTTTGCCCTTTGATCTCATTCAGCAGGCCCTTAAGCATGTATTTAAGTTTAAGCATCTGAGTAGTCTCATTGACTTCATTCAATGGAACTACTTACATGTTTGAAGTTAGGCATGTACTTAGGCGGTACCTTGCTGATGGGGACCTTAGTGGTGCTACTTTTGCTGAAATGTATGGAAGACATTCCAGCAGCAAAGCCTTTGGCAAGATGCCCTGTGTGATACTGAACCTCGTTAGAGAAAGAACAGAGTCTGTCTCTCCCTATCTGCATGAAGCCAGGTAGTCAGAATCAGCTGTGTGAATGTTGTACAGAATGTTTTACTTGAATGAAAAGGTCATTATAGATTATGAAGGCTTCCGTGCAGAGCTGTGATGTAAAGTGAGAGAAACATCCCTGGAAAATAAATGAGTTTTAGACATTCTCCTTTGTGACTCGTATTTATCACTGTCAATGTGATTAGCAGACCCCTTCTCTGTAATTCTAGGGTGGAAAACTAAAGGACCTGGCAGCTATTTTAGATGTATATTCCACAGGAGTTTTCAACATACTGTGTCCTGCTTGTTGTTGTTGGACACCTTCATTATATGCAGCCTGTTAACGAGGTACCACCGAGAAGTTTGGGATCGGAATTTGACCTAACTGTTACAATATGGAGAAGAACGTCCTCTGGATTTTAAATTTTTTTTAAAAAGAAGCCACAATCTATGGACTCATCCATATATCTGCATGCAAATCAGGTAGTTGGCTCATAAAATGGCCAGGTAGATTCATAACAACTCAGTTTGCATGTATGGATAAAGGGGATTCCATGCTCCATGAACTTCACCTACAGAATTTGGTGATGCATCTTACCAGGCCCTCTGAAACTGCAACTCTTCCTGTACATTTAGCATTGCAAGAAGGGGGATTCTCTAGTTCTTTAGAACATTTGCAAGTCTGGGCAGCAAATGTTATGCTTTGCCTAGACAGCACTGAAGAATGGGGTTACCAAGAGAGTCTCTGAAAGTCCTTCGGAGGTTTTCATTATCTCACTTGGTATCGTTCCCGTTAGCCAGAATAAAGTAAAACTGCCCATTACCGATCCGCTCGCTGTTTGACTCATAAGAAACAAACGCATCCACCACCCCCCCACCATTATCTGGATGCAGGAGTGGTGAAATCTTTTGGGCAGTTTGAGCAGTTTGATGTTGGCTGACTGTCAGTCA